CATATACATATACATACATATATGTACGTGTATATGTCCAGCCAGGGCACCTTTTCACCGCGAGGCTTCGGGCTTGATCCACCATTGCAGCCAGGCCATGGCGCAAGGAAGCCCCGCGATTTTAGGGTGTAGGCCTTCAGGCTCCTAGGGTTTAGGGGTGGTCTGTTCGGGGTTTGGGAGTTTAAAGTGGAATTGGTGACTAAGGTCTTTGGGTTTAGGGCTTTTAGGGTTTCACTTCACGGCTTCTGGACGTCATCCTTGTCACTTGAAGGATTGCCGTCATGGCACCGTCATGGGTTCAAGTTGATGGGCTGCGCGAGCACAAAGGAGCAAAGGATGTCGAATGGAAGCCTGAACCAACCCCCAGGCAGTTCGAGGTCTGTGGCGCTGGGATCCCATCACCGGATGCGTCCTGCTTGAAGAGCGGGGCGCGGAAGAAGTCGGCGAATCGATCCAGCCCCTGCAAAATACTTCCACCAGCTCCCATTCCCCTACACACGCAACCCCAAAAGCAACTCTCGCATACAGCAGCATGAAGCTTTCAGAGCCTGAGGGCCTCTAACTTTGCTGCACAGAGCTTGGAGCACCGCACCGGCCTAGGTATTAGCAGAGTCTCGTGCGGGGTCTATTGAGTTTGTGCTTACAGAGGGTGTTGTCTAAGCCCGAGCCTGAATCACCTGGTGCTGAGGAAAAATATTACCTAAGCCTTGTATCTCACAGGCCTCCCGGGCAGCATCAGAGGAGGCAGCCGCGAAGTACACGGTGACCTCAAGAAGGACGGCACCAGTTTTCGTGTTGAGGCTTTGGGCTTCTTTGTTTCCAAGTGAACTTCTAGGGCTTGCGATTACAAATCGGAAGTTTAAATACCTTCACGAGCGCAACCCAAAATCTACTTCGACCCCCGAAGCGCGAACAGTCCAGAAAAGGCTGCCGTGGTGAAACCTACTTCGTAATTCGGCCTCTGGGCGCCACGGTATTAAAAAAACATGCAGTATTCGCCTCCCTACAGCTTTAGAGTTTCGCAAGGCAGGCATGGCTTCTGAAGGTCCGAGCCCGCTACTGTGACATGTGCGAGAAAGCAGGCTAGTCAGTGGAGAGATTGCTGATACAGCGCTAAACACCATCGGAACAACGAGTATAGACGAGCCCACTGACAGCCACTCGCCGCTAGTCCCGCGAAGTAGCCAGCGCTGAGTAAGGCAGCGTTAGGGTTTTTTTCCCCTCTCGCATGGCTGAGGATCTATGCCCACTAGCGAGGTTGATGACGGTCCATTCGAAAGGCAGGGTTTAGGGTTCGCCAGCGCGAGCGCGGCGGCGTCCATGTCATGTCCCACAGTTATACGGTGGTGTCCTAAACCCTCACCTTGTCAGGTGCCCTTTTTATCATCTTGGAAAGCTATCGTTCCGAAAACCCCGAATCCTTCGGACGAAAGCCCGAAATCCTCCTCCCCACGAATCGCCGAATAGGTTCCCACGAAAGCCCGAAATCATCCCCACGAAAGACGGAATCCGCACGAAAGCCCAACTCCTTCCCACGAAAGCCCAGAATCCTCCCCACGAAAGCCCGAATCCCTCTCCACGGAAGCCTGAATCCCAACGAAAGCCCGAATCCCTTTGCACGAAGGCCCAGACTCCTCCCGAATCACTTTGGACGAAAGTCCAAAATCCTCACCACGAAAGTGCGAATCTCCACGAAAGCCTAAATCCTCCCCACGAAGACCAACCCACAGGTCCTCCGTGTTCACACAAACATAGTAATCGAATCAATTTTGCTTGGCTGGTGCTGGCCGATTAAAGAAAAAAGCAAATTGGCTTGAAATTTCAATTGACGTTACTTCTGATGATGAAAACCACAAAATGCTGCGCTGGCGCTCAAGGGCGCAGCCCCTAAAAGTGTAGGGTATAACAGCCCATAGCCCACAGGAAGCTTCTTACACCGCACCTCTGATGCTGTGAAAGCATTCGAGGATCCACCGTACCTCGCGGCTGCGGCAAGCATAAGTAGTGAACTACGAGTTCCGAACCTCACTGGGCTCCGATCACACTCAAGTCCTGAAGCCCCCAGTCGCTTGCCCCTAGAACTCAGTGATCCCAAGCTCAAACCTAAGGTGAAATTGGGGCAACTCTTACACCTGACTTTGCACCTCCGTGCCAGCGGGGCACTTCATGAGGAACTGATCGAAGCCCTGGGCGCACGCTTAACGTTTGAGGCTTGAGAGGCTTTCAGGGCCGGGCTTGATCGACTCTCGTGAGGGCACGTACAAGGTGCATAAAAGGGTTTAGGGGTTCAGGATGGTTCAGGGGTTCAGGGGTTTAGGCTTCTATGTCATGTGAATTTACCTGTATAACCTTTGCGGCTGCATGTTGCCTGGGCTACAAGTGCTTAGGGGGTCAAGCTCGGCTGATGGCTGCGCAATAAAGGGGGAACCAGCCGAATCCTCACATTTCTCTAGAGACCCTGCAAGCGCTTCAGCCCTGAAGATGGCACAGGGCTAGCAAGTAAGGCTCCTGAAGGGCTCGGAGGCTGCAGCCCAAGCACAGAGGCCCGTTAGCCAAGGCTCTACCATTTCGTGATGCAGAATTGCGTGGATAATGTACATTTCGAGGCTTTGTCGGAGGTTGGGGCCTGGTGGTTCTGAGTTCGATCCAGTGGTCTGCGGCCAGCGGGCACTGTTCTCGGGATACTTCTCCGTGCCCAGGAACAGCATGTGCTCGCAAAAGTGCGCTAGTCCTTCCGGGCTTCATACCATTTGGGTTTGAGGAGTTGCGGTTTCAGCACTCACACTTGAGGAGTTGCGGTTTCAGCGCTTGGGGATGCTTGGGGTGGTGGTGCAAGGTTTAGGTTCCAGGCTGAGGGTCCAGAGAGCCCAAGCTTTGTTGCATTGCAGGGATGAGCAGGCGTGCCTAAGCTGGCAAGTAAGCTTCACAAGGCCTTTGGGGTTTCGGAGACCCCGAACCCTTTAGTTTAAATCCTCAAAGCTGAAACGTTTTCCGGGTTAGGCGATGCCGGCAGCCATACGGCTCCGGGCTTACAGCTTGTATCAGGGTTCCGCTTGTGGCTTGTGGCTTTGGGGGAGTGTATTGGGTTTTACTTGAAGCTTTCGTGCGTAGCTATATGTAAATGTATAGACTGTATAGTCGTACCTCGAAAAGGGCTTCTACATGCTTAGAAGTGTGGAGGAGCCCCTCCCACGCGGTAACTACTGCCTAGTATTGAAACGGGAACCTCAACAAGAAAGGACACCCAGCCATACGGGGCATACAAGAAGCAGATTGCGAGACAGATCACATGTCAGATCTATGCAGGGGAATCAAAAGCTATCGTTCATCCCATGTTGAAGCTCAGACCCTTCCCTTCACTTGAGATGCAACGGCGCGCCAAAACCGCTGTTCTCTCAAGAAGAGCTCAACCGGCAGAAGCCCAGTTGGACTTGAGAGCCCGGATCGTACACACATCCTACACACACCATTTTCAAACAGTTGTTCAGCCCTACACCCTGTATACACCTGCTACAAATCCTGAATCCTTTCAAAAATCCTCAACTCGAGGCATCCGGGACAACCTGGCAGCTGGCGCGGGTCGTCGTGGCTTCCCGCTTTCACGGCCTCGCAGTTGACAAAGGTCAAAACAAGGTTTCGGGCTTCAGGTTTGGAAGTCTATGCTATGCCGCGATGCTGCGCAATCACAGAATACCGGCGCGGAATCGAGAGGCTTCGCCGCCGTTTTCTGGTCACACATCAAGGGCTGTGGTGCAGCGCACAGGGTGCAAAGGCTTAACCAGCTGAGCCCTGCTGTTACGACTCATCTTTGGAAAGGCTCGGTGGCTCAAGCCTGTCTGGCCCCACAGGCAATGAGTCTCTTGCTACCATCAACAACAACTCCTTGTTTTCATACAGACCGGCTCTTCAATAACCTCTCACTCACGCGAGCTCCAATCCAAGAGGGGCGCTGAAACGACATGGAGGCTTTGGCACCACAAGATACTTCGGCTTGTTGCTGCTCCGCCAAATGTGGGCCTCTTGAGGCAGCGCTCTGCCGATCAGTGTCCACATAGTTTCGTCATCGGGCCGACCAAAGTTGAAAACACATGCACTGTGTCTTCGAAAGAGCATCGTTGACGATGAAGGGCACGTCCATCAAGCTCAGGTGATAATTCTCGCATTTCTGTGCGCTGATGTCCACCAGAAGGCCCATGTTCATGAGGAGGACCTGCATGCCGTCATACTGAAAGCTCCTCCTTGTCGTCTTCCTGCCTTGTCACTGTCACCTCGGGGGCATCGTTGCTCACCGGCATCGCAATCGGCGTCGGAAACCGCGGCATCACCTTCACTTCCGGCACGAAGACCGCTCGACGGCAACGCAGTCTAACAGGCGTCTCGGATCCACACAGCACCTTTCGCAGCCTGCATTCGGTTCGGATGCTCCAGCAATGCTGCGGGAACGGGCTGTATTCCCCTGTGTGTCAGAGTGAGACCCGAGACTTAGCCGGAGTTCCAGAGTCCGGAGAACTGGTCCCGGACTTCGGTGAAGGCCTCCTGTGCTCTGGGATCCGTAGGCAAGGCGGTCAAGGCCAGATACTCCAAGCGGCTGCAGATCTCCTGGATGAGCTCTACCACCGGGTGCCTTGCAACAGGTTCGTGTGAAATGTGCATGTCATTTAGGTTGCTTGCGCTGCTGAGGTGTGGAGACTTCGGTCACATCTGATGACTTGCATTCCTGACGCATCGACAACAACTGCTTCCGGCCGCAACTCATTTAAGCTCAAGCCCAGCATCTGCTCCAAACCGCAGCAAAAGCAGCACGGAACTACACACGGCTGCCAACAACTTCAGAACCTTAAACTCTTTGAACATTGCAGAATGCGAGCTTCAGGGACATGCTCTTACTGAAGGAGGTACTGAGTCGAAGGCTATGTCGCTAGACCTTGCTACTTGGCTCTGGAGCTTCGGCGTAACGAAATCCTAAACCTCGCACTCCTTCAACCCGGTGAAAGGTTGAGGTCAGGGCTGATCGTCTAGAGGGGAATGGCCCAGGAGGCTTCTGGGTTTCGGGCTCTTTTCTGTGCCTCCTCTTCCAGTCGGAAGAAGCTGTCGCCAAGGCCGTGTGGAGGTGCAGGAGCTTCACCACTGCCCGGTGCGGCTCCTTCTGGCATTAGAGGAGGAGGGTTCCGCACTCGGGGTTCAAGGTCTAAGGCCCCCGGCCCCAGCCGTGAATTGCAAGGTTAGGCCGGTCTGGAGCACTCCATCTCGCGCACTTGAGCATACCCCAAACCCGACTCCACCTGGAACCTGAAAAATGAAAGCCCTAAACCCTAAACCCTAAAATCCACTCAGCCCCCACAAAGCTCCACACCACCCCCCGGAAGCTGGCAAACCCTGACCCGAACTCAAGAAGCTCATGTCAAAGCTCAAGGCCCTCACCCCCAAACCTCCATCCAAAACACCAAGGCTTCACCGCAAGACCTCAAAAAGCGGCTTCTCTGTAGGTTCTTGCATAAATCGGTTCGACTCCCCAGGCCTTCTAATTCCCTTCTAGAACCCTTAAAACAAAACCAAACAGTTTCCTTCTAGAACCTTTCTAGAACCCTTCCGGAACCCTTCTAGAACCCTTCTAGAACCCTTTCAGAACCCTTCTAGAACCCTGATAGAACCCAACCCTCACATAGACTTGCACTTCCCTCATCGGTCCTTTCTGGCCGCCCTCTTCGCCAGGAGCCCGCGCCCGCGCGACCGCAGCGAGACCCAGCCCTCCCGGGGCCCGGAGCCAGAGACCTCCCGAGCTCTTTGGGCTCTTTCTGGGAACTCCAAAGAAAGGCTCGGAGGGTTCCCAAAAAGGGAAGCATGAGGGGAACCAGAAAGGGCGCTATAAGGGGACACAACAGGGGTTCTGTGAGGGAACTTCGAGGGATATTTGGATCGGTAAGGAATCTCCAAAGGTTCGGAGCTCAGGGTTTGGGGGCTTCGGGTTTAGAGCTCATGGGGAGGCAGGATGGTGGCTTGACAGGGTATCTTACCCAACGGCCCTTGGTCTAGCTGCTGGGTTTGCTTTGTAGATACAGAGCCTGGAGCTTTGGGAGAAGTTCAGTCTTCGATGTGGGCCTTCGGATGCGCCTGTTGTCCTGCTTTCTTGGTTCAGAGCTCTGGATGCTTCACACAGCTCGCCTTGGCATAAAGGAGACGGTCTCCGCGGATGTCTTTCTGCTGGATGATGGCTCCCTTGCCCAGCCTTTCCGAAAGCTCTGGGGAGCTCAAAGACCAGCCAGTTCTGACCAGGATGCCATCGCGCGCAGCTCCACCAATGACCTCCCACAGTTCCACCGAATCGTGCAGAGCCGCCTGCGTCTGTTCTTCACCAGGGAAGACAGCAGAAACGGTGGCGAGGGAAGCAAAAGCTAGCGGATCGGCACCCACCATCTGAGCAGCCTCTGAGGCAAGTACCCCCAAGTGTGCCTTTCCGTCTGCAGCCAGAAAGTAACGAAGAGGCAGTAAAGAGTCCTCGCCAGTTCGCATGTCATGTACCAAGATATCCATTTGCTCGCTAATGGGGTCCTCCAGGACAAGAGGACGGACCTCCGCTCCCCCATCTGCACCGGCAGCAGGCAAGATAACCAGAGTCAGCAGGACCGGACGCTCCACGGTCCCGCCAGAGACCGTCTCATCCTCTTTCAAGACAGAGGAGCCACGAAGCAGCTGAAATCGAGAGCCCGGAACTCCGGCTGCGGCTCTCTTGCGCAGCTCGTCCACCGACGGAGGATCTGCAAACTGCAGCTGGCCCACGACATCCTCCCCGGCTATGTTCTTGACAACCACATGCGCAGACATGGTCATCGCGGCTCTGGCCCGCTACCGCTACTGCAGTCATTCATGTTGACATAAGCTCCAAGCTGTCGTGGCATCATCTTGGGGGTGATCATGTCTGTTTCGAATGCAACCCTGGCTTTCAGCCGCTGCTTCCCATGATACTTGAGATGACTGTGAGAAAGTAGGAAATCAATTGTTGCCACGGATGCTGCGATTCTTGGTGTTGTCCGATATTACGACTACTACGATTACTGCAGTCGACAGCATTTCCAGCGTATGGCACCTTCGCCTACACTTGCACATTCGGCAGGGTTGCTACAACTGCTTCAGCAAGTACAAACGCTTCAAGGTTGCTGCGCTTGTGATCATACATTACTTTTACACTACACTACGCTACAAAACACTGCAGGCATGCATGTGTACATGTGTACATGCATACAAGCATGCGTGCATAGACGCTTTACAAAACCCCTCCAAGCCCCAAAAGACACATAGGAGCCCTTTTTGTTGGCCCTTTCATGGGGGTTTTCTGGGCTCTGTGCCATGGCCATGGCCATCTGATGGCTGTTCTCGTCCTGCGCGGGCGTCTCATGTGCTTTGATCTAGGTGGTGTAGGGTTTTGCGCGCACACTTGGTTTAAAGTTCAGGGCTTAAGTTTTCGGGCGGACATGCGCACTAAGCGCTTGGCAAATTCCGAGCAAGTTCATGAGCTGGAAGCCACTTGCAGGGCACGCTCGTGTGCTTTGTTTTAAGTCTTTTACAAGGTTTCGGATGTAGGGTTTACGATTGTACGACTAGCCGGGCGATTAGCTGGGCTGGGAAAGTACTAGTTTAGGCGCACATCTAGTCTTAGGAAAATACCCACCCACCCAGAGAATCTGGAGACGACTATGGGTTCTGGTGCAGCCCAGACTGGTCCCTAAACCCTATGACACAGCCCCAAACCCTACGATACAGACCGAGAATAAGTCGTAAACCCTATGATACAGCCAGAATTGATTAAATGCTATGAAATTTCGATAAAGCCATTTGCCTATTCCCACGCAGGTTGCAGGTTTGCCTATGCCCAGTAAGGTTACCGGTTCAGATCTGCCTATGCCGAAAAAGGGTGCCGGATCAGATTGTAGGGCAACTAGGTCCAAAGGCCTTCTCTGCGAGGTTTCAGGGCTCTCCCGGCCGCAAAGAGCCAAGATTGACGCTTTTTTACAGCCGGGCGGACGCAACGCATGCTCTTATCGGGCGAGAGCCGCAGCTGAAGCTCGTTGGGGCCGAGAGTTGCGAGAATCCGGTTTCACCACATGAGCCATTGCAGTCGTCCTAAGCATGCGGATAAGCATGTCCACAACGTCGAGCCAGCGCCCAAGGGAAACTTCCTTCGCCACCTTCGTGCCGAAGTCAAAGATCTTTCCAAGATGCTCCTGCAGAACACCGCGAGATCTGCGAGACAAAGGACAGTGTGCCACATCCGTGAATCGCGCCGCGATCCTTGACGAGGCCGACAGCCAAGACTTCTCCTGGGTGCCGGTGACCATGCAGTCCACGACTGCAGTCCTCCCCTCCGGGTGGACGAACTCCACTCTGAAAGGCGCCGGCCTGCTTCCTGGCCCGCTCCCAATGAGGGAAAGCTTGCCATCCTCCTCGCCAAGACACAGCCATTTTCGAGCGGCGGACGTCTGCGACAGTTGAAACTGTACTGGCACATAATCCTCTGACGGCTTCATCAGGGCACAAGCTGGTATTCGCACGAGATCTCCGCTCTCCTGGAGAGCAAAAATGGGTATATCCTTCAGCACAGATCGGACCGACTCTTCCAAAACTTGGCAGAGATTCATCGCCGCGTTTGTGTGAGTCTGGTCCGCATGGCGAGTCTGGGCAGTCTCAAAGTAGTGCATTTTCGAAGTCGTGCCCCTTCTTCTGACGAAGTGCTGCTGCGCGCTCAGCACTTCAATAGCCTTCTTCGCATCGGACGCACGTCTCGGATCCTCGAGCCATTCCTTTGTAGTTTCCCAAGGCCTCTGACTCCGATTATCATCCATGCAGTCGCATGTGGTCTTGCAGAGACCCGGTGGGTTTGCGCACCCGTAGCCGGGCGGATAGTCCTCGGCTCTCTTGGGCCAACCACTGCGAACATCTGGATCTTTGTCTGCTTGCGGCGGATGGAAGTCATGGCCGCGCTTCAGGCGGAACATGTCGCGGCGGAGCGGATCGCCATTGCGCCTGTACCGACCCATTTTTGCCGGTGGCTCTGGCCTTCGCTCAGCTGCAGCCTCTTCCTTGTCCTTCTCGGCTTTCTCCTTCTGCTCCTGATCGTGCTTGCGCTTGAGCCATCTGGTCTTTTCGCGCAACCTCATGCCATCAAGGCTGGCCGGTATACAGTCGTCAGGCTCCCAAGTCGAACCTGCTTCGGCACCATTCTCCACTTTTGAAAGATTCATTCCTGCCCAGGCCGTGCCCTTATCATCCTTCCAGAGCACCCGGTAGAAGTCTTGGTAGAAGCCAGCATGCTCGTGGCACCAGGCCTCCCAAGGGGGCATGTAGCCAGTGATGTCCGCAATGCGAAACCGGCCCGGCATTGCATCTTCGTCCCAGTCTTCAGGAATGTCCGTGTCCTTCACCCCTGACCGTCTATGAACAAAGGCCGCTCCTGCGTCATCCACGAACCGCGAACCTGTGACAGAGACGTTCAACAGCTTCTTTTCGAGGTAGAGGATGCCACTGACCTTCCCGCGCTTCTTGCGCTCCTGAAGCAAGAGCTTGCGGAAGCGGTCGTCAAACCAAGTGATCCTGGCATCCCTTTTCGCCTCAAGCTCTTGCAAAACAAGAAGGCCCTCATACCAATAGAGCACTCGGGTCCGGAGCACCTCGTGGCTGCTGCCATCCTCACGGGTGACCATGGCCAGATTGCCTGTTTGCTTTTGCAAAGTAGCCTTGGAGAGCTTGTTCAGGCGGGGCCCGGTCTTTCCGGCCATGAAGCATTCCGTCGCCATCACCTCATCGTTCTCGGGTATATCCTGTGGGTGTTTGAAAGGGGAGTTGGCATCCACCGGATCCCAAATCCACACTGATTGCATCTTCGCGGCGAGGAGCCAGGCCGCCCGGTGGGCAAGTTCCCGGCTCTTCTTGTGCTTCAATGGTGTGTAAGATCTTGGGCTTAGGGTTTCGGGAATGAGTCTGTGTGTGGGTGTGTGTGTGTGTGTGTGTCTGTCCGTCTGTCGGTAATGCAGTGGGTATAAACTGAATGCAGCTTCGCAGGCGCGAAATTGAGCCTCTCTGAGGACTTGAGCATAGCCAAGAGATGGCTCCGGTTCTTGTTTGGGGGTGGCTTCCGAGCGGTCGCATGGAATGCATTGCCAATGCATCCTGGTGGGCGCTTCCTGTCGAGCTTTTGGCGAACTTCCCCATAAGACGACTGAGAACATCGAGCTGACCCTTGTTTGTTTCCGAACACCTCCACCACCAGCACACTACTCCAGAATCAACAGTCGTCAATAGCTTGGATTCCTCTTTGTCTCTCTCTCTCTCTCTCTCTCTTGTGCGGCACAGTTCGGCTGCGACCCGGCATCTAGCTGTCCTGGATGTTCACGACGTGAAGGCCATTCGAGAGCTCGGTGTACCTGGACTAAGAGCATCCGACAGGGGATGTGGTGTCGCACTGTACTACTAGTATAGTCTAGTATCGTATAGCATAGTATAGTATAGTATAGTATAGTATAGTATAGTATAGTCTAGTCTAGTATCGTATAGTATAGTATAGTATAGTATGGTATAGTTTTGTACAGTATAGTATAGTATAGTATAGTATAGTATAGTATGGTATAGCATAGCATAGCATAGCATAATCTAGATCTGCTTTTGGCGGTGTGTGGAACCCAAGGAGCTGCCTTCCTTCGCAGTCTCTGTCTGGCATATCTCCCTCTGGCTACTGATACTACGGGAAACTTCTGTAAACATGCAGTCATTGTATGCAAGCTGTTAAGTAGTTAAGTCCTTGCAGGGGTTCTTGTGATGGCAAACCAAGATTTGTCCTGAAATCCTACTGCATGGACCGCACTGAAGCACCTGAAAACCTTAGCCCCTGAACCCCTGAACATCAGACACGGATATGACAACGCCGAAATCCTGCGCCCTGCGCCCCAAAACCCCTAAAAAGCACTGCAAAGCCCCATAAGGTTCGGTCTTAGGCTTGAAGGTTTAGGGAGCCTGTCCAGGACCCTACAATAATTTGTGCAACCGGTTTAGCGCTTAGGGTTCGGGGTCCTTCCCAAAGCTCAAGATCCCAGAGCCTTGTTGTCACTGCCTCGAACGCTCCCACAGGGCCAAAACGCTTCAAAGCCCTCCAGCCCGGAAGTAGGCTTTGGGATGCCTCGGGGGCTTAGGGCAGGCATCCTTTATGTTACGTCCCCAATCCCAGGCCCCTCCAAAAACCCTCAACACATGCTGCAAAGGCCCAATCCTACATCCTGAACCCTAAACCGCGCATGCGGATCCCTCAAATGCTTTTGGTGGGCCCATCGCCTCGGAACATTGAAAAATCCGCTGGATCCTGGACCCGAAACCGCAAGTCCCCCGAGAGACGAGCTGATACTGCCGCTGGTCGGACTTCGGCTTGTTTGTGAGGAGCCTGGTTGGGGCTTAGGCTTCAGGCTCTCACATCTCGGACCAGCCAGGCGAGGTTTTGTAGGGTTTAGGTTGTTTTTGGTTTTGAACTCCGTTTTGGGCCTGCCCGATCGTCCAAGCAGCGTTTAGGGTTTAGGGTGCCCGGATCTTGGCATAGGGGCTGCAATGGCTAGTCATGCAATACGTTTAAGCCCCTCTGTACTCTAGGTGTGACAGCAGTATAGACGCAACATACACGGATGCAGGTAATGTACCCATGCGCGTGAAGCATTACATACACAACGCCCGGACGACTCGAGTAATGATTCCCGCACCTCGGTCGTAGCGATTGCTGAGAACTGAGAAGTCTTACGGCATGTTCCATGTATTTTCCGTGAGATGGTCAACACGAACACAGATCTCTACACCGTCTCCTGAAAGCAGCATCCTGGATGTGGGCCGCCGGGAACGAGGTGGGACGGCATGTAGGCTGCGATGGCAGTGGTGAGGGCGATGAGAATGAGGAAACTACTCCGGCTCATCCCGCTACGGTGGTGGCATATACGTGCGAATGGTAAAGACAAATTCAATGCGAAGCTCATGGTTGCCGTCTACGCCTACATAACCATCAAGAAGAATATCTTCATGTTGGAAACTTAGAACAGGACCACGGGCAACGATCACAGCTAGTAATATACTCGTGGCCAGAAGCATGTTCTGCGTCTTTAGGAACACAATCGCCACCCATTATGAGCACAACCCCCACAGCTACTGACCACCACCGTACCACCATCACGCTCAGAATTATGTGAAGTAACACTGCCAGAACTGTCGCAACACCGTCTCAAGCATGCACACTGTAAGCTGGGAGTGCAGCAAGGATTTCCCTCTGTGAGCCCGACTCCTGCGCGCAGTGCACTGTGTTTCTCAAGGGAGGCTTCGAAGGTCTGCTTGCTGCTTTAAGAGGTTTAAAGTTTCGGGATGCTTCGGATCGCTTCGGGTTTAGGGTTCAGGGCAAGCTGGGCCAACTGAAGCCAGAAGTCCAGCACTTTGATTTTCTGGTCTGGGTGACACAAAAAGGACAAGCCAATTGAAGTTGCATGTTCGCGGTTCGTCGGTCTGGGCTAGTACACGAGGGACCCAACTGGAGAAAACTTCGGTTTGGGGTTGGAGATTTGCGGGAACCCGCAGCCTGTCACGGTCGTGAGGGCTGCGCATATAGGGACTCCTGACTACTATGGTTCAGCCCACCAATGTGATTATCATACTTGTGATTGCGGTCATGGCCATGAGCAGGGCGATCATACACCATGGCGAGTTTTACTAGCACTTTCGCTGCTTCATGCTACTCCTGCAACTGGCCTGTCGAACCCTTTACCCAGAACTCTCTTTCTGTCTGTGATTTCTCAACCCCCATTATGCCTCTAAGGTACTCTTCTATTCTAGATACAAATCCCTTGATCTTTGTCACTGCTGTGCGGGTCCCCACGGAATGCATGGCGAGACCAGCCTTAGCTCGCAGCGGACTTGAAAGGCAGGTACTGGCTCTGAGGTGCTAGTGCCGGAACACCTGTAGCAACCACGTATTGATACTGCTGGTAATGAGGGTCGTGCAAGTAGCAGGTGCAACTTCACATGCTGATGCGTCGTGTGCTATACAGCGGGTACCTTGCAACTAGCAAGCCTCGGAAGACCGCAGAAAGAACTGGCCGGAACAGAGCGCAGCACCATTCACCCTTCAGCTCCAAATCCCAATACCAATCGCCTGACCCATTTTAAGAACCTGGCCGCGCCCACGAGCAGGATCACCGCTGTTGCTATCAGGGTGCAGCGGTGGCGGCCCCAGCAATGCCGACTGGAGTGTCGCACGGGCTGCAAAATTCGCTGGGCAGCGAACAGAACATGCATTGTCGCTCTGCCGGCAGCCATGCAGCATCAAAGAGCATCACCCTACTCCGAGCTGATTCTAGTGACTAGTGACTGGTCCATTTCCACCGCACCGCTAAGTCGAAGCACTTCCAAGCAACAGGCCTAGTTTCATCTTTGTCCAGCAGGTGACTCCTGAGTCTTGTCTCTTCGCTTCCGGGTTCCCGACTATCAGGCATTCCCTCCTGCTACACGAACAGCACATATAAAAAACACAACTGCACATCCTTTTAGAAAGGTACATGTGCTGTTTCTGTACCGGGTCAAATGAGAAGGAGAAAGAATATAGACTGGCACGCTCCAGAAAAAGATGGCATCAATCTGCAGGCGCTCGGAACCCTCGCTGAGCTCTGGACCTGTCGTCCTGCCGTCCACACAAGACAGATTCGACAATTCCGTTTTTTTAGGCTCTAGGGTTTAGGGTTTAGGGTTTAGGGGGTTCCGGAATAAGACACATGCCAGCCATCCCTGCGAAAAACCAACGACCCCATCAACCCAACACAGCCCCCCACCTAAACCAAAAAAGCAAGAAACAAAAGCTTCAACAACCCCAAGCAACTCGAAAAAGCTTTAAGCTCAACCTTAAACCCTAAACGCCCCAAAAAAACCAGGGCTCCCTTTTGATGCCTCCGTGAACATGCCTCCAGGGCTGCCTGGAAGCCTCGGGCTCGCAGCTCGGGGCTCCAAGTTTTCTCAGGGTGCTTTAGGGTTTAGGCTTTAGGGTTTAGGGTTTACGGTTTAGGGTTTAGGGCTTTAGGGGTTTAGGGTTTAGGGTTTAGGGGTTTAGGGGTTTAGGGTTGAGGGTTTCGGGTTTTCGGCTTAGTCTTCTGTGTGGAGATTCGGGTTCAGGTCGTGGTGTCCTTTTGTTGGTTGCATTATTATTCCCTTGGTCTTGGTTTTTTTGCTAAGGTTTAGTGCAAAAAATGAAAGTGCGCATATACGAAAAACACAACCGTCTATGTATGTATAAACATAGCATGTATGAACTCATTTGGTTGTTTGGTTCATCGTCAACATGTTTGTATTCGTTCATTGCTTTATGCTCTTGCTGTGTCTGTTGTTGTTCGTACGGTTGGGTGGCTATTTTTGAAGGCATTCGCTCAGGGCTTCAGGGTTTCAGGGCTTGCGCTTTCAAAGTTTTGAGGTTCAGGGCTCAGGCTTGCACCGGCTTAGGATGTCAGGGGTAGCTTAAGGCTCGATTGTTCTGGCTGTAGGCTTTAAGGAAGATTTGGGTTAGGACTTGCTACCGACAACAATATCAACATATCTATTTATCTATAATATGTATACATGTGTAGAGATACATGCATACTTACTTGCTTACTTCTTTATCTATATTGGTGCATATGTCTATATTACACACACCGACGTGTATACATACATACATATACATATACATATACATATACATATACATATACATATACATATACATATACATATACATATACATATGTCTGTGTATGTATGTATGTATGTATCTATCTATCTTTCTATATACACACACAGACACATACATACATACATACATACGTACGTACGTACGTACGTACGTACGTACGTACATACATACATACATACATATATAAATATACATATGTATATTATATGTATATATGTATATATGTGTGTATGTGTGTATATATATATATGTAAGAGTAAACTGAGCCGAGGCATCCTTGACTAAGGGCTTTTGGAGTCTGTGTGTGTGTGTTTCTCACCGTTTCTATGTTCGTGCCTCAGTTTCGGGTTGAGTTCAGCCGTAGTTCAAGACCCAAGCGGAGATAGACTGCAAGTCAGCACAGTGGTTGCGGTGGCGCGAGCAGCTACCCGGGGACCTCGCCTGGTATCTCCATGGAGCTGAGCTGCCATGCAGCTCGGTAGTTCTAGTACTATACCGGATAATCAGGGGATGAAATGAATAGAGCTGTTGAGCCCGGCCGGACGCGAGAAAGTTCGGCAAAGCCTGGCAAAACATGGTAGGGAAGTCCCCATAGAGTTCCAGGACTTGGAGGCGCAAGGCTTCGCACGCTGGGCATTCAGGCTGCCCGAAACCCTAACTGTCATCTTCGCTGCAGCCTCGGACGCAGCACTGCTCCGAGGATCATGCCACCACCGTTCCTGGCCATCTGCCCAGCAACGACGCAGCTCTGCAACAAGAGTGCTCCAAAGATTTGTCAGCACCATCAAACTCCAATACCACCACGGACCACCACCACAGCCACCACCCGCAACAGCAACAACGACAATAACAGCAACAGCAACAGCAGCAGCAGCAGCAACGGCAACGGCAACGGCAACAGCAAGGGCAATGGCAAGGGCAATGGCAACAACAACAGCAGCAGCATTCATTACACCGCGATCACCAGCACCAGCACCAGAACTGCCAGCAAGCCCACCAGCAGGACGATCTTCATCATCACCATCGTCGTCACCATCATCATCATCATCACTACCATAATCACTCCAATCAGCCACATGGCCAAGAACAACATCATCATCATCATTGGTTATCTACCACCACTGCCATCAACATTCTCGTCGCCATCATCATCAACACCACCGTCATCATCACAAGTCCCACTACCACCATCGTACTCGACACCTTGGCTCAAACATCAGCATTGTCATCATCCTCACTGCCGGAGTATTGATCCTCACCTTTCTTCTCCGCAGCATCTCATCCCTCATCCCCGTCACGAGTTATCGTCACCACCACCATCATCACCCACATCGTGACCCACCGCAAGTGCACCATCCTGGCCTCCCCCATCACTACGCCATGCCAGAGCTGCCAACCAGACCCTCAGATGCTTGAAATCTAGGAAGCATAGAACCCGAGAGCCGCCTGATGGGTCGATTCTGAGCTCGGCTGGCGTTCAAGCGGGACTGCCCGGGTACTCGCACGAATGCGATTCCGGGCAGCGAGGTACGAGCTGTCATCACAAAGCTATCGGCCTAACCCCATTTTATCAGGGTCTCGCTTTCCGACGCTAAACTCCTTTTTGCATCAGGACTTGTGCAATCATCCTAAACTCCTCAACTCCTAAACCCCTTTTCAGCATGAGCTTGAAGTGTGTTCTCCTGAACCCTAATCTCCCAAAAACCCCATCTGTATCTGGGCCTTGGCCGCGACATCGACCGCCAGAGGTCCTGGCCATTCACGGCAGGGCCTGGAGGAGACAAGAGGAGACGTGGAGTTTCGGGTGAACGGTCTGTTTCCGGTTTAGGGTTTGGGTTTGTCTAGCGATGGGGTGAAGGCATGCGAGGTATTGAAACTGGCCAGCGCCTGCAGGGGCTACGCTACTTTGCTATATTATATTATATTATATTATATTATATTATATTATATTATATTATATAATATTATATTATATTATATTATATTCTATTCTATTATATTCAATTATATTATATTATGTTATATTATGTTATATTATTACTTCTATCTTCGGTGTCCCGTTCCAGGAAGGCCACTGTAGAACCCTCCCCATGGCCTGGGTGTGGCAAGGACTTCTCGAATCCATCTTGGCCCGGGGTCCCGGCCGTCGAAGAGGCGGAGGAAGCCCATCGGGAAGAAGATCTGGGGGTTTGGGGTTTAGGGTTTCGACTCACACACTCGCACACGCAGGCATGGCAGGTTCCGTCTCAGGTTTAGGGTTTAGGGTTTCGACTCACACACTCGCTCACGCAGGCATGGCAGGGTTTAGGGTTTAGGGTTTAGGGGGTTTAGGGGGTTTAGGGTTTCGACTCACGACAACCCGAGCTGCACAGAGACTTCCAGAACTGGGGAGCCGAGCATCTCGAATGTCGTAGGAAAGGATATCCTCAGACCTCATCGCAGGCTGAAGGATGCTTAGATGGGCTCAGAGCTTAGAGTCCACAATTTTTAAGAGCTTCAGGAAAAGGGCTTCAAGTTGAGGGCCTAGGGCTTAGGATTTAGATGAAGGGTTTTAAGGCTTAGGGTTTAGTGTTACAGGGGTCTCCGAAGGCTTTAGGGCTGAGCTGGGAGTTTATGAGTTTTAGTTTAGGTACCCTTTTGCAACAGGCTTTCCACTTCGCCCGGAGTTGGAGCAAGCAGCCCTAGCAGTTTAGGTACCCTAAACCCTAAACCCTAAACGGTTTAGGGTCTAGGATTTAGGGTAAAGGGTGTAGCAGCTTTGGGTTAGGAGTTTAGGACTTGTTCCTAAACTGCATGCCTTGACTCGAAAGCTGGCCCCCTTGCTCGTTTCCACGGGATCAAGTATTTTCCGCCCCATCCACATCGGAAACAGCTTACCCCAAACCCTGTGTTGCATCCCATAGCTTGGGAGGTCAACCGGGGAAGTTGCACAAGTCCTACCCGGTACTACCCTAAACCATTTTGCACAAGGGACCCGACTGCTGCCCTTACTGCCCAGCTTGACCCACAAGACAGTGTCCCACCCTGAAGCCCTAAACCCAAAAACCCCCAAAACTCTAAGCCCGAAAGCCTGAAGCCCTTTTATCACGTCACTAGAAACCCCTTTTTCTGCAACGTCAAGCCAGGACAGCCCCAGAGTCTAAGCCCGAAGGAGTCCAAGGAGCTCGTGCCCCAAAGCCATGGCCAAGACACTCGACATGAGGACCTCGCATTTAGAGACTTTCAAGAAAATAGGGAACTCCAATGCATGGAACCTAAGTAGTAGGGTTTAGGGTTTAGGGCAGCACACTCAGTATGATCTATACGGCCTACCCTAATGCCTAAACATCCCTAAACCCTAAACCTAGACCCTTGCACACCTGGGCGATGCGTATGCCAGGAACCGAGGCGCCGACTGAGACCCTAAACCCATAATTTTCATCAAAAGACCCCCAAGCATGTCTGGGCCAGGGCGTTGGGAAGGTTCAGGGTCTTGGACGGTCCGGGGCCAGACTGGAACTCGTGGCGAACCCTGCACATACACTAGGGTTTCGACGCTGGGGTTTAGGGTTTAGGGAAGGCTTAGGGTTTACGGATTGTATTTGAACCCTCTATCCGCGGCCGGAATTCCTAGCAGGAGGAGGAAGCATGCGGGAGAGGGTTCATAAACTAGGGTCTCGGAGCTGGCTCACGAGCCCAAGTGCTGGAAGCAGGGGCCTACCAAGTTCCCTGCTGTTTTACGGCCGTGCTCATTTATCGCAGCTATTACTTTTCGTCTCTCGGAAAATGTGCTTCCATAGCTTGTGTCTCATGCAGGTAGCACTGCATGCTTGTAACGCTTTGGTACTACGCAGGATCACCATCTGCGGCGATGCGTTGGTGTAAAGGATGTGTGACTACGTCCTTACACCATGACGTTGCTGCGGTATTCTCATTCCACAGAAATTGTATCAATCTATGTCGCAGTGGCTACTTCCCACTCT